GTCTTGAACCTTGAACTTGCAAGGAAAGCAAAAAAGAATAAGCCAAAGAATTCAAAAGCTTTCTTCAAATGTTCAAATGTTCCGGCTCCATTACAAATGACTTGTGTTTCCTTATATAGAGCAACCACTATACAAGGGTGGAATACTTAAAAGTACCTACAATTGTGAAAAATACATATTTAATGAATTAAAATATTAATCCCATATTTGGACCTAATGACCAAAATACATTTAAGAACCTTTCAACAAATGACAAAACCATCCCTCCATGAGAGGTTTCTTAACATTACTGGGCTTCGCGAGCGTTTTCAGACATCTATGATAGTAATTCGAACGATCAATCGTCGTAGAATCGATACTTGAATTTTTGCACACATTTTGATACCCTTTGGTCATCTTGAAACAGATTTTTAAGGAATAACCTAAAATTCGGCCAAGTGCATAAACTTTGCAATTCTTCTACCACCAATCTGGCATGATCTATGGCGTTCCAAGACTTCATTTTTATTACAAATTGAATGGGTATCTGTTATGATCATTTTCAATAAATTTTGTCTATTTTGGTATCTGTTTGAGCATATTTGAAATTTAGGAAGTCGTCGAAAAATGGGATTCCGACAACCGAAAAGTATGTCATTTTTTACCTAAAAAATCGTGTCATCAATCCTTTGATCATATGTAAAAATTGTAGCTCTTCAAAGCATGGTCGCAACGGACCCATACTTGCGATGATCCGAAACTGGGATCTTGAGCTATGGCCTATCAAAGAATTGGATGTTTATTTTAATGTTTTCGAGCCTATCTTCTCACTAGAAATTCTCTCGTTTCGAGCCACGTTGTGACGCGTCGATCGGGTTGTCTAGATCTAACTCATGTCCAAATTTAAGCTTAATTGGACCCAAAACGAACAAGTTATGAGCATTTGAAAAGCATCTCGAAATGAGAAAACACAGTTGGAAACTGGTTCATTGAGGTTGCACGGCGATAGTGTAAAACCCAACCTTTTATAATAAGTTAGACTCAGAATGGTCCCGGAGGGTCTGATAGAGTCGAATTTGGCACCTGGGGTCTTTTCAAAGTTTTGAATCTAATGACAGTGGTCTAGTACTGTCTTGAGACCCAGAAAATAGGGTTGCAGTTGTGGGGTCTATTTTCAGCATGATAGGAACTGGATTTGAAAACCCAATTTTGTCTTGATCATATCAAAACTTGTCAGAACGCGACGAAACGTTACAGGTGTCCTTAGGGTATAAAAAACTACCCTTTCATATAATTTGACATGATTTTGACACTTCTTCAGAGGTCATCCAGTTTTAGGCTTATTGTTGTAGTGTTCCAATGCTCTGGCGGCGTTTTGGGCACCAACAAAACCAGGTTACTACCGACTCTCTCCTTATTCATCCCGTGGATACAAGTACGTCAAAAATGGCTTATAAAAAATATATATGGATTTAACTAACAATCTTCCATTTTATACAGGCACATCAATCTCAACAACGCAAATAAGATATTAAACTAGAATCCAACAACAAAACTTTTCTTCAATTTCATTAATGGTAAGATTATTATCTTCTATTATTCTGCATATCATACAATTAAACATATAAATTCTTATAATCCAAATTTGAAAATTGTGAAATAGTACAAATTACACTGTCGCCATCATTACAAAAAAGGAGAAAGGGATTCCCCAACAAAGTCAATAAAAGAGATAATTAATATGGATATTATCGAGCTATAAAAGGTATGAGCTGAAAATATATATTCTATCATCTACTAATTACTGTACAATGTAATAAAGCTTTATTAAAATTTATATAGATCAAATACATCTTTTAACAAGTCAAAGCGACAATAGTGTATGTTGACGACAAGGTATGGTATCGAGAATGTTTGAAGTGCTTAACAAAAACATCTCAAATTGGCTCAACAAAATGTCATTGCTCAAAGTTCCAATTAGATAATATCAAAACAGGCTTCAAGTGAGATCTCCATTTACTAAAATTAAAATTTTAATATAAATACTGAAAAACTAAGATAACACAAAACTTTTATAGGTAATGTATCAAATGTACTCTAATAGATGACACCGTCGAGTTGAAAGTTACAAATTTTGGTAAAGAAGCATAACATCTCTTGGAGGTATAATAGCAAAACAACTTCACAGTCTTCAACAACATGTATATGGACAACATAGTTCATTACATCATATATATAATTCTTAGTTTTGTTTTCCATCACAAATAATATATTCCATAATACTTACATCTGAAATTTATGAATCCTTACAAGCAAATATTGTAGATCCAGTTCAACACACAATACAAAAGATCCTGAACACAAAGCATATTTTTCGAAATGCGTGCCACGCTTTCAAAATCAAACAATAGTGGAATGCGTGGTGACAAATGTATCTGATATTCCATAAAAGCCAAGTCTAAAAGAAGATTACAGCTGCAAGAACACAATGAAATCTAATTCATTGCTTTTTCTTTTATTGGATCTCATTTATATGTCAACATTTTTGTTATTAGAATGATTTGTTTGTTTTTTTTATCAAATGCACATAATATAGTTTTGATAGAAGAAAGCATACAACTTATTAAGCATATGGTGTACACTATAACAAAATCGTTTGTTATGGTATTGCTTGTTTTCATTTAATACCTAAAATGCATATCATTATTCGAATTATGGTACAATATTATTGTCAATTATTTATCATTCATAAGTTCAATAATTAATAACAAAAATAATAATAATATAATACAGTTAGTTCATTATATATAAAAAAGTCATGATTGCTTATTTTATTTCTACATGCTACGCACGTAATTCAACTAGTTACTACTAATTTTGAATATTATGTTACTTGTTTGTAACTCTCAACAAACAAGAGTATCTTTATCATTCGATTAGGCCCTATTGGGAGTTAGTTTAAATTACTCAAATACTCATGATTGTTCTTCCTACTACAATCATGAATAAGGGTGGATTAGAATTTTTAAGTCTTTTAAGAAGCTTCCGCAGTGAAATCAAAATAGCCCCCTCAAATGTTAATTGGGATCATTGACCCCTTTAAAGACTTTTTTTAGGGTTTCAAGCTGTTAAATGATATTTTCTCTTATTATTTATAAGGGGCTTTTTACCCATTAGATCTCATACCGACTATGTACCCCTAGAAAGCATGAAAATATGAGGGCATGCATGTACTAAACTTAAGACAAACCTCCAACCTCCAAGAAACTATTCAACTGACTCATGGTTTATAAAGGAACTCATACTTTAGGGCAATGATTCCATGCAACCGTTGTATAGCAATATGATACAACAACCTTAAAAAACCATCTTATGGCTATTTGTTTGATCCAAAATTTGAAATATACACTATTTTCATTATAATGAACAATCACAAAAAAATAAAAATTTGAAAACACAACCTAGAAAGTAAATTTTTAGCCCAATTAACATAGGGCGTTCATTTTGGTGAGATGCTTAGATCTAAGTTTTAGAAGGATTTTTTCATTTCCAATTTTTTTTTGGATGGCTTTATTATCATTAGATGAACAATGATAAAAAAGAAAAAAATGATTTTGAGTTTATGAAGGCTAAGATCTTGAAATTCATAAAATGAATAGTCTAGATTCGTTTTTAGAGGGGGCTCATTTTGACCATATCTAAGGTTCAATTTGAACTTTTTTTGGGGGGGGGGGGGATTGATTATTAAAGTGAAGAGAGTGTGTGTGCAAAATTTGGAGTCATACAAATATCACAAACATAGTTTTCTAGAAGTGTCGTTGCATTATACTATAATACAACCATTGCATTGAATCATTGCTTCATACTTTATACATGCTATCTTATGTTTTGTTTCCCTAAGTTGCTCCCCAATTTACACCCTTGTCCCAAGAAATAGCATTTTTCATTGAGGAGCATGTATATTCACTAGCGTAGAAAAATGAGGGTTGGAGGTATATAAAATGTTAGATTATAAATTTGTTGACTTAAGCTTCCCAATGCTTAAGAAAAAAAAAAAAGGAAAAAAGAAAAAAAGGAAAAGAAGAAGGAGAATAATACATCTCCAATGTCAACGTTTAAAAGGAAAAAATAAAAAAAAAAAACTTTTTCAACATTACTGTTGTCCATATTTGTGGTCGTACTTGTGGATACCATAGTTATCAAGATTAAATCTGATGGCGTGGTCTAATATCTAATTGGTGCCTTGAGTGGTTTGGTATAAAAATTGGGTCTATTTGAAAACAAGTTAAAAATTTGAGAGATATTGGTCGGTTTAAACCATTTGGATTGATTAAACAAAGTTGAACATTTTTTTAACTAATTTTTTCTTATTTTATATTTTTAGAAATGCTATGTTTTTATTCTATTATCAATTAAATCGCTTTTTACTGAACCAGACTCTTCACCAGTGCAACGTCTGGTTTGATCATGAAAACGTTTAAAAATATAGCTAGTCAACGAGTGACACCTGTTTTAGGAGCAAGTCTCCCTTAAATTCATGCAAATGTATCATGCCCCAGTTGGGTCTAAGGGGATAGCTTTGTGATAAGGATGGGAATGGGTTGGGGCTGGGTTTGTCTAGCCTTGGCCTTGGCTTGACCATTGTCCTCAAAGGGACGGGCCATGCCCAGGGTGGCCGCCCTGGGCCAAAAACAAATAGAATAAAAAATTAAAAGAACAACAAGAGAAAAACAGCGTCAAGCCTGGCCGAGTAGAAATGGGCCAGCACTAGCTCAAGCCCCGCACTAGGACCACAGTTTGAGAACCGGGCCCTACTCTAGCCCATTACCAGCCTTACCTGGTTCATGCTCAAAGCGCAATTGCGATATTTATGAAATTTGAGGCGACCATTTTATAAGGAGATATTATTTTCGTATTACACGGTTGCGCGTCTTCTTAGAGCGCGAAACGGTGGCCCGAAGAGAGCACTCTCAAATACAAATATTTTCCCGCCCATCCCCAAATCAAACGCTATACGAAGTTACAAATTCTGCTTCTCCCTGTTAGAAACGTAGTCATCTTCATTTTGCCCTAAAGTGGCGATTCAGTGGCGATTCTAAACCCTATGATTTTAGGGTTTCATCCTTTTCACCTTCTTACCCCTATATGGTGATGTTTGCTCTTCATTTACAGGATTTTAGCTTACTCAATTTGCACTCAATTTGCATCTGTCCCATTTCCAGCCTTAAATGGAGATTTCTTCTTCATAAATGTTTAAACGGTTTAACAGCGTTTATAGGGTTTCAGAGTTTTCACCTGATTCTTATTCCCTATGGCGACCTCAGATATGAATTTCTTGGGTTTTCACCTAAAATGGCAAATGTCTTAACGCCATTTCCATGTTCTCTTTCATATTGCATTTGCAGAGCTCAAGAATAAAGGTTAAAGATCAGATGTTTCATTTAATTGGAGCTACCAGGTCAGATCGATCTCAGAGGATTTAATGTTTCTGTCTGTTAAAATGCCATCACCATAGATTTATTGTGTTCACCGCTTACCCAAAAAAATGATTTATCGTGTTTACCATTTTTGTAGTTTAGCTCCACGATTTTAATTGTACAATCAGTGTTTTTCTTTGCTTCTTATTGGATCTCTATCACTCTGAGAATTATTTTCATGCTTCTTCATGTTACAATGCCATATCAAATCCTTTAGCTTTGACTTAGTGGTAGATATATGCCATTGGGTGGGGGAGGTTAAATGTTCAAACCCCTGAAGTTTGTACCTAAAGTCCAAGCAAGCTGATCTAGCCTTTTATTTTTCTTTTCCCAGCAATGCCATATTGATGTAGATTTATCATGCTTACCATCATTGTTATTTAGCTGGATAGACTTATTTCAGAACTTTCTTATGCTGTTTTATTTTAATAAACAAGTTGATTATCATGTTTCATTGATTGTGCAGTCCATTATGAATATATGCAATCTAAGAATAGTTTTACTACACAACTTTTTACTAGCAGAGAAGCTTTAGTAACATTAGAGAGAGATGAGGCGCAGTTTTCCTTCTCATCTTTTGGTACATTCAGTAACACTTAAAGAGAAAATACATGAAGAGTAGATTCCAGTGGGGATTGCTATTTAATACTCCATACTTCGATTCCTTCTCTGACTTAGTAATACATGCAGGGATCTACTTGATAACTTCACCGATCTTCCATTTCACTGCAGTTTCAGACGCCTCAGAAGCCTGTACACAAAAAACCAGAACTAAATTTAACTCCAAAACAAAAACGGAAAAAAAAAAAAATTAGAATTCCCAACATGTTTTTATTAGGGAACATGTTTTTATTTTCACCTCTATTTTGATGGTTAATTAGGGAGCATGGTGCAATCTCATCATGGTCTTTGCTCAAATAAGCGAAAAGGTATCATTGCCATGTTCAAACTGAAATCAAAATCCATGGAAGTGGAGAGCATGATGATTGAATACGATAGGAACAATACATATTCTAAAACCCCCTGCATACGAGAACGGTTTATTTGATTTTTACCTTATTTTTTGTGAAAACTAAGAAAAAGGTTTCCCATAATAGCGGTCTGGATTGCTCGATTCAACCACAGGGGCAGATGAGATTATCAAGCCATGGGTGTTACAGGTTCACAGTAATGTATGTTTTTGGGTTAGAACAGAGGGGAAAAGGCCTCTTACCACTATGGTAAAAATGGAACTCAAGACTTTGATATGTTTGATTAGTCTTTTGGATCTATCATACCGTAGGTTAACAATCAAACTCAAAATTTCATGGCAAATCATACTTATGATCTGGCAAGGGATTTCAATCTGATTTGCAGGATTTTCCTAATTTTATTTGAGGAACAGGATAAGAAGTCATAAAGGTGTGGATCGAACTGCCATATAAAATATAACTATTCTCAGGTCAGAGCAAATGGCCACCTTTAGTTTAAGTACCCACGAGGAACTATCTCATCCAATCGGCATACTGGACCCTTTGCCTTGACCAGCCCACATTGGCCGCTGATTCATGCATGGTATATTCAGATTCTATCCACTTTACCTATATTCAAATAGAAATGGCACCCTGAAGGAAAGGTCCATTTTCATAAAGTTGACCATTTTAATAAAATGGTGTAGGCCCCCCCCCCCATAATTTGAGATCACAATTGAACCCAAAAGGAAGACTTGGCATATTTGCTCGCCTGATGATCAAGCTGAGGTAAATATGCGTAAGTTGAAAACCTCAGTTGTAACAAACAAGTACTCAACCGGCATTTCTACTCAAGAACTCAAATGATTTCTAATGGAGAATCATCTTTTACCAGATGACTTAGACATTTAACAGGATTTTCAGGGAAAGTAGGACTAAAACATAACCCACCAAACAAATTTCATATTTACTCTATGCTAAACATACATAAAAGAAATGAATTTTAGGTATACCTTTCTTCATCCTCAGTGAGCTTGGAACCTCTGCTACTACCCCCACCTGAAGATTTGTAAATGGGGTCAGGAAACTTCCCTGACTCTATGTCCTTGAGATCCTCTATCAGACGCTCATATTCGCGCTTGACCTCCTCTGCAGAGGTCCCTCCCACCTCTCTGGCCACCTTATGCCAGCGGTCAGGGGTATCCTTGTCATAGATGGCGAGAGCCTTCTCGAACGACTTATTTTGTTTGGCAGTCCATGATGGGCTTGAGAAGCGACTCATGGAACCAGAAGCCATTGTAATTGCAGTTTTTTTTTTTGGTTGAGAGCTAAAAATGTGATCTGATAGGATACTAGGAGAGGTTGCAAGTGATTATTTTCTTTTTCTTTTTTTTGCACTTCTAACTCAGAATGCAATGCAATAGATGGCAAGGAACAGGAAGCGAAAAATATAAATTTTCTTTAACCCAAAGATTGAATTCAGGAAGATTAGGATGACAGGTAAAAGGAAGGAGTGGTCTTAGGTAAAAAACACAGTCAAGGATGCTTCTCTTGAAGTGGAAGATGGTGGGGGCAGGAAAAGGGGTCGATGTAGAGAGAGAATACAATTTAAGGAAGCTTCACTGGAAGTGCAATGAGTTGAGGTGTAATAGAGATTGAGAGGGACGCTGTGCTGATGGGAAAAGGGGGTGAAATGTGAGAGAGAAGACAATTTAAGGAAGATTTCAGCTGAACCGCACTGGAGGCGTAGAAAGATGATGTGGTGAGGGAGAAGAGGGAGATGTATGAAAAAGAAATTTCTCTCACTCTGCTTTGTGAGTGTGAGGGAGGATCTTTGAGTCAAGGGTGGGCTGCTGAACAGAGATTGGCAAACCACCTCCTTATAAACTGGAAAAAGGGGGGTGCGATGGGGTCGGAAGAGGGGAACGCCAGTTGGCGAATAAAACCACAAAAGTGTACATTTAAGAATAATGAGTGACCCGGCTCTTTGGGAACCACAAGATTGAAGCTTGAATCTGGACAAGGAATAAGCGGAAGCGAATCCGAATTATCATTCTGTTTTTATCTTTTCTCTTCTTTCCCATCATCATTTCCTGATCAGTTTTGTATTGGGGTTTAGGCAGCTGAATCAGGGGCGAAGTGAAGGGATGACACTGTTCCATCGGATTGGTCTGGTCTCACTTCATAACCTAATTATGGTACAGCTACCAACTTGACCTGAATTTTCTTCTTATAACATCCTATTCCTTTTGAAGATATGGGCTTTCTCTCTCTAAATTCCTGTCGCTATTCATTACCATCATTGGTGATTCTTGGGTATTCCCTTCTCTTTCCGGACTTCGTCTTTTACTAACTACCTGGTGTGAGATGAGAATAAATCCATTCCATCAGTCCCCCCATATCCTGTAATCCTCTGTGTTCTCTCTAGAAATTTTGTTTTAATTTAAGGAAATAGATCCAAACCATTAAGCCGAGACGTAATATTCTGACTTTTCTCTCTCTCTCTCTCTCTCTAGAATTATACTTCCTGTTTTCTTCCACCATGAGCTGGAGTTAAAAATGGACACAAACTCAGGTCTGTGGCTTAAGATGTAAGAGATCACGAGTGAACCACGTCCTCGTCTTCTGGTCACTGACGTCTTCCCAGGCTGGGGTTCCTCTAATAAGTTGACAACAACAAAGTACTAGTGCTTCAGAAGGCACTGATGGTTTTCATGGTTATCAGAAGATCAGAAGAGGAAGAGTAAGCTTTTGAAGCTGTGAGCAATAATATTCCAAATGCATTAGCTGGCTGGGACATACGGTACAATTATGTGTATTTATCTCAGACTCATGAAGCCTTTCTCTCTCTCTAGCCTGGCAAGAGTCAACAGGTGGTCTCTTTTGGGATATTGTCAGGTCTCATCAGATTTTTAGCAGGTTCCTGATGTATATAAAAGTTAAAGACCCCATCGATCTGTGCAAACAAAACCTCAATACTTTTATGTTTTGAGTTGTAGCTTTAACCACAGTTGGCAGGTCCTTGTTAGAGCCTTCTGGTTCTCACTTGTATTATAGTGCACCGACAGTAACCCGGTCCAATGTTTCTTAGTTGCTAAGATAGCCGTGTTCGATTCTATGTATATCCCCTGGTTTAGGGGCTAATAAATCATGGCATTTTGTATGAAATTTCTTTATCCTTGCTGTATTTATGGTATTGGAGCTAAAACCGATTAAATTTCTAATGCCTTCTCTTGCTTAATTTTTTCTCCTCTTTTTATTATATATTTTTGGGATGGTTTAACGGACTCCAAATAGTTGGATAAAGCTTACTTTTCCTTCCGACTTTTAAATATACAATTTCCCCAAAGACCAGGAGTGATTCCAGGGAGAACCCCTAATTGTATATGGAAAGCTATACCATACACTAGTAGTGTATTTTAACTATAGTATATTTTACATTAGAGAGGCATCCACAATCTGCTCTCATTATGGATGGAGAAGATTATTGTTATCTTGAATGTATATATATATATATATACATTTAATTTTTTTTTTTTTTTTATATTTGGCATTAGGAACCAAATTCGGGGTATAGCAGTTACTAATAACTGCCAACTACTTAAGCCCGAACCTAATTCTTGAAGGCTTAGAAAATATAGTAAACCACCATTTGGTGGCACTAAGAACACTGCATGGTGTGCCTTCCCATTATTTTGTTTGTGTTTTCAATGTAAACATGCCCAAGATAAGCTTAAATTGCATCAAAACGTACTTATTATAGTAACAACAAAAAATGTTTTATTATGTGTATACTCAACTCTTAGATGTTCAATCATGACTCGTAAGGCACATGTAGATAGTCCTCTCGTTCTCGGATTCTTTTTATGTTCAGTGATGAACTTTTACATTCTGATATTGTTAAGGATGATCTCTCTTAATGGACTATGGAACTCTTTCTTCCTTGTGGTGTACTCCGTCATTTTTATTATTTTGTGGGTCTGTCTAATCCCATCTTATCCAAAAGAAAATGCATATTTTGGTTAGGGGTATTTAAAAATTATGGCTTGGGTTTAAATTTTTTGATTAGGATCCTTTAAGTGGTGCTTAGAGTTAAGGTTTCTTTTCGCACACTAGTCCAGGATATTCATGAAAGCGGAAGCTTCTTTGTGAATAGAAAGAATTCACAAAAGGTGTTAAAGGGCGGTCAGTTGTGGATCCGGTCCAACGGATAGTGGGCCCTGGGGGCCCTTTATACGTTGCAAGTTGCTCAGCCGCTGGGTGGCCATGCTACCCACATGCGAGATTCATGATTAGGGGAAAAGGACTCGTGCAAATGTGTTGGGGATTCGTTTGGAAGTGGTCCTTATACAATGTAATGCCTTTTGGTTTGATATTCAGCGAATTCTATTCCCAACTCTCCCTCAAAAGATTTACGTCTGCAAATTCCTCTCTTTGCTCACTCCAAGGGCCGGCTTGGTACCTCATGGCTGTGGTCCAGCCACGTATTACACTACACAACTATTCCTCTTATCATGTCACGTCTTGGGTTAAGATCCCTTATTCCTCTCGTCGAAAGGCAGTTCGAATCATAGATACCGGACTCCCTTTGTTTGGGATTGAAACTAATTTGACAGTCAAAATCCTTATCCTTGGTAACTTTAAGACCACACCTGAGACAGACTGACAAATATCTAAGATCCGATAAATTTCGGAAAGAGGGGGCTGGTTTGTGTCCCTAATTGAGAGAGAGAGAGAGGAGAGTCGCTGAGATGAAAGAACCAACCCTGGTATAAGGAACAAGTCAATGAGGTTTCATGCAAAAAGCAAATGAAGGTGGATTGCAGGAATCTTATGTGAACAAATGGCAAAATGGATTTTTTATGAGTGCGTCTACTTGCATAAAAAGATAAGAGGGGGAGGATCTCCATGGGGCACATCTCAGGGATAAGTAGGGGGACGTATGAGGTACAAATACCAATCGATGGGAATCTTACAAGCTGCAAGGCACCTATAGATATTTAACTACTCTGTTTGCATATGCATATTCCGCAAAGGAAAAGCTCAAAATATTCATGGGAAATCATTTGGAAGTGATAACAAACTTGTGGTTTCAGTTCTCCGGATAAGATATATAATGAATTTATTGGATGATTCCCGTGGAAATTGAAGAGTCTCTTTTTATCTTCCGTTGGTTATGCGGGATTTGAATCTTGGATTGTTGGTAGCCGCCTAGCATATTTTAGTTGGTGGTTGTCAAACATAATTGTTTATGCCATCCTAGGACCCTTTCATATGCTTATCATTAAAGAGCCCATCATTACCTCATGGCAAAAGTGTCCAAGTCCCACAGATGCCCTAGGAATCTCCAGTCGTCCATTGCCTTTTGCTCACTTTGGGTCCATCGGGGTGGGTTCTAACCATGGTGGTCATTGATCCCTGTACAAGGTGGCTCGGCTGAGAGAGAGAGCCTCGTGATGGAGCAATGGGCCTGCCTCACCAATACCCGGCTGCCCAGCGTTCAGAGTAAGATGGAAAAGAGGAAATGATTGTGGTGGACTTCTGTGGGACTGGCAAGGGCCGGTCAGGCCCGGACAGCTCGGGCCCACGCGGCCTGGCCCAAACCTCAGCAGCCTGGCCTAAAACTTTAGGGCCTGGGCCACCAGGACTAGCCTAGGGCTAGTGCTAGCTTGGTTCTGCCTAGCCTGGCCCAGCCCCTCTTCTTTCTCTTCATTTGTTTTTTATTTTTCTTCATTTATTTATTTGTCCCTGTGGGCAGTGTAGGGCTAGGGCTAGGGCTAGGGCTGGCCTATGCCTGGCCCCACGCACCCTTAGATTTCTACTAGGTCAGGGTAATTTTACAAATGTGGGCAAAGTAAAATTGGGCTCTTATATGTGTGAAAATAAGAGATTCCACGAATGCAGGATTGCTTGATCGTGCAATATTTACCTCAATGCTGGGTCAAAATCCTAGGCTTTTGAGGTGTGGAGAACTCTTGACTTTTGGTCCAAAGGCTACCAAAGGCATCACAGTTGGAAAAAGGTTTGGAGCCACATTCTGTATTCGTTTAACCCGCACGTGGGGTTGTTGGGTTTGACGCTGTAGCGTGAAAGGTTTTGAATTGGCTGGTTCTGAGGCATCTTAGGGGGGATAAAGAGGGTGGGGACAGGGATTCTTTCTCATGTCCTCACGCTCTTTGAGTGAAATCCTTCTCACAGATTCAAAAGTACAGCACAGGGACCCCTTCTTCTAAAAGCTATGGTGGTGCACGTTGCCTTCTATTCCCGCAAAAGGGGAGATAAGGTATGATGTCCTCTTACTATTTCTGTCTACCACCCATCGCTAACCCTAGCTTACCTTGAGTTTGGAGGAGTTGGATTGGACCCATGCTTCTACAAGTTGTGGGCGATTCCATTGTTGAACCAAAAATTGAATCCCCAAGCAGTAAAATCCACTAAGATAAAAAAATGGAGGATGGCATTGTAATAAGTCCCAATGTCTCTTAGAATGTGGCAGAGCAATATTATCAAGCTTGGCTGTTCAAAACTTGAAATATACCCAGTCCTAGTGACTTTATACTGGAACTAACCACATTGAGGATAAAAATGAATCGGAAATGTCAGGATGGAACACAAATGTGGAATATCTAACCTTGGGTAGAGGTGGTTAAATCTTCTTCGTTTATGAAAAAACACGTGTACTATGCTCCTCCGGGAGCAAAGTGTATATCTACTCCTTTAGGGCTTACTTGTGAGGATTTTTTCAATCTAAAATTTTGAGAACTATATGAGAATTACTGGATTATTCTCAAAAGAAAAAATTGAAATTTGAGTTTTTTAATACTTAGGATCTCAACCTCTATTCACTCTTGGGATATTTTCTTTTCAAGTGCATAGAGGATGAAATTAGAGATATTATTTGATTGAGGTTAATCTATGGGTTGAAGAGGTTATATCCTTAAAAATTGGGGCCCTAAAATTAACATTAAATGGGGTTTTTTGACTAAGGGAGTAAATTAACATATATTCCTGCGGGTCTTTTGGCTTTATATAAAGGAAAAAGTTAAAAAGGTCTAAGCCTTATGGGAAAAAAAGAAGAACTAAAAGCCTCACTTAAAAACTATAATTTAACATTGTGTTTTGCATGATCTGATAATGAGAAGATGATGGTAGTTGTGACGATCATTGGCTTTCCAATTCAACAAGGGATGCATTTCTATTGGTGAGTCTAGGAGTCATGTACAAGTACTCTTGTGGCACACTTGTTTCAACCACGTCTCTAAAAATCCTTAAAAATGTTGTTTCTGGATTAGTTTATTTATTTTAATAGTTATTGGTTATGATTCAGACCTTTCCATTTTCTAAATATTGTAGAACCTCTTTTTCTTCTAATAAAATAAAAAATTTAAGCCATTCAATCTTGATCATTCATGATTGAGGGCTTGCTTTCATTATTTCTATATTTGGATATTGGTATTTTATATCATTCATCAATGACTACTTTCATTATATTTGGATCTATCTTATGAAAACTAGAGTTGAAGTACCCTCAAGAGTCAAAATATTTCATAAGATTGGTTCAAACCTAGTAATAGACCCAAATCAATTCTTTCCGTTATGATAATGCATGAGATTATCTATACTACGGATTAAAAAAATATTTTCTTGAACATTGTATAGATATTCAAATATCATGTTCTTATTCATCACAACAGATTGGTGTGGTGGAAAGAAATATTAGACACTTGTTAAAAGTTATAAGAGCCATCTTAATTGGAATGGAGGTTCCTAAGACATTAGGATGAAGCAGTTCTTATTGCTGCCATTTGATTAATAGGTTGCTTACACTTGTTCTCAATTACCCTTTTAAACTTCTCCGCTTTGCATTTCCTTTGTTCTGTCTTCTACTAAAAAGCTTTAGTTTTGTATGCTTTGTACATACCCTAGGACTGGATAGGTTTGAACTAGGACCCCTATCTACTACATGTGTGTTGATATTCAACTCTCAGAAATGATGCAAGTGTTATTATTCGATAACTAAATCGAAACGTCTCAAAAAATGTTATATTCTTTGAAAATATTCTTTATTTCTCTTCCCTTAGAGATTCACTATCCACTATGCCACCCAAACATCTTGTTCCTCTTCCAATAATCCCAAATAGTTATAGTAATCCAACTAAGGAACAACTAGAATGTGTACACCCTAAAAAAGTACAAGGGGAAGTCTGATGTGATTGATTGGCCTCAAGACATTGAGTCGACGACAGATGCTTCTTGTCTTTCTACCCTTATATTTTCTCAACTTGATTTATCTATTACTGTGAGAAGATATTAAAGAGTTTATACTTCTAATACTATCAGTAAGTTTGTTTCCTATGTTTCACTTTTACTCTTCTTTCGCGCATGTCTTTGCTTTAATTATTTGTTCCTATTCCCACCAAAGTTGCAGACCACTAACTCATCCACAATGAGAAGCAACTATAATTCAGGAAAAACGATTGCCTTAGAGAAGCAACAAACTTGGGGTGTAATTGATCGGCCAGAAGGACATGCGGTAGGATGCAGGTGGAATTGATCGGCCAGAAGGACATGCGGTAGGATGCAGGTGGATGTACACTTTGAAACACAAACCGAATGGTTCGATTGCGAGATACAAAGCTCATTTGGTGGGTTTTACGCAATTATATGGGGTTGACTAGAAGAAAACTTTTTCTTCTGTACTAAAATTAAAGTGAATACGGGTACTTTTATCTATTATAGCTATAAAAAATAGCTACTCAACCAATTAGACATGAAAATGCCTTTATCTATGGAGATATGGAAAAGGAAGTGTATATGACCCATTAGCTTCTATCCTCAAGGGTAAAAATCGAAGGTCTGCTAGTTAACAAAATCTATACAAACTACTAGCTCTAGCTTGGTTTGAAATATTTAGTATGGCAATATTCCAGATCGGGTTTTAGAGAAGTGTTTCTGATCGTTATGTATTTCTTAAAAGATATTCTTGTTCTACCACAATACTATAGGCATATGTGGATTATATTTTGCTCGCTGGAGATAATAATCACCAAATTCATAAAGTAAAAGATTTATTGGGAAGCTTTTTTGACATCAAGGATCTTGGTCCGTTTAAATACTTTCTTGACATGGAGGTAGCAAGGTCTAAACAAAGGATTTTTTATTTCAAAGGAAGTGCACTCTTGATCCATAATAATATGTGAATGCTTGGAGCCAAATTAGCATAATTTCCCATAGAGGTTAATCACAAAATGTATGACCGGCAATCAACGTCTTTGAATAAACTTGGTGCATATCAGAAATTAGTGGGCAAACCTATTTATTTTTCCCTCATACAGTCGGACATAGCATATGTTGTAAGAATGGCAAGTTAGGTGATGCACATACCACAATCCCATCACCTGGAGGTTATTTATTACATTTTATGACATCTAAATCTCACCTTCAAGTTGTTGGACTACTTTGCACCTGTCACGGTCACCTTGATATATAGGCTTATTGTGATGCAAATTGGGTTGGTCGGTCTCTTGTTCGTTGATGGTAGTTGATAATGTAGTCATTTGAAAGTGGAAGAAGAAAAGTGTTGTTGTTCGATCTTCAGTGGAAGCCGAGTATCGAGAGATGGCAAGTGTGGCTTGTGAAACAATTTTTCTTCGTTCTCTTCTTCAAGAGATGGTTGTTAATGTATCTGATCTTGTTCATTTACATTGTGATAATCAAATTGAATTTTACGTTGCTTGAAACTTTGTATTTTATGAAAGAACTGAGCATATTAATCATATTATAGAAGAAAAGGTCGCTTTCAAAGAAAATGTGTACTCCATTAGCTTGTTCCGAGGATCAATTGGCTGACAAACTAAGGCTTCTAATGGAGTTCAACTAAAAGATACTTTTGGCAAGCTGGCCATTATAGTATATGTTCTACCTTGAGGAGGAGTCTAGTGACTATTATGGGCCCCACTGCTATTAAGGAAATATGTAGTGACTTTATAGGCCTCACGCTCATTAAGGAAATCCTGGTGAGAACGCCCATTGACCAAAAATCCATGCATTTTTTGGAAACTCAATCTCTGCCACATTTACATAATATTCTATATCTTGATGCTTGCCTGTTTAACCTGCATGCATGATTGCTGTAACTTGCAGGCTGACCTATATACGTGTATTTATATATGGCACATTGCCGCGTGATTTATACAAAGAGAAAGGCATCTACATTTTACCCATTCATGTGCTTCAATGTTTCTCTCTCTTCTTTCTGTCAATCTTAACTACCTCATGCATTACATCTGTCAACACCAAATAAAGAACTCATTTAAAGCAATTATATTTAAGTTTGATCAATCACATTTGTAAGGGACGTGTAATTTTCGTATCAATCAAAATTCTAGGAGGAGCTTGTAAATGTTTTCACCTAAATGACTATTAGGAAATCATTCTTGATATTGAGCTGAAAATCTTGTAGTCCAAAAATTATAGCAATTGACGCTAAGATGTTCAATAGTGACTTTGGCAATTGGAGTACTTATCTCCCGGTAGTTTACAGTATACCCTTGCCCCCTATCGTTGCAAGTTCGGCATTATATCATTCATGGGAACCATCTGCTGATGGCTTTGTCTTGTAGGCACATTGACAGTAGTTGAGAGAACCATTTGAGGATAATTCTTTCATGGCATTGCACTTTGCTTTTCTGTATGCTTTTGCTATCAGTCAAGATGTGCCGTTTTTCTTAATTGGTTGAAAATTGCAAGATAATTAGAAGCATCATTTAATTACATTGTGACAATTGAAAGATGCAGTGAAATCTACATCTGAGGGAAATGAATGTGATTTATGACAAAGACAAGTAACCAAAAGGGAAGTGCAGCTGATATGTAGTGCTACAGTTTGTAGCTTAAAATAGCTTCAGTAGATGAAATGATGTTGTTGTTCAACAGAGGAAATACATAACTTGGTGATGCACTTGCGTTTGGATCCCTTCTCTGCTTGGTGTTGCGTTTGGATCCCTTCTCTGCTTGGTGTTGCGTTTGGATCCCTTCTCTGCTTGGTGTGAAAAGGTAGATTCAACAATGTTTTGTCCAGGTATGGAGATTTTTCTATTTCAAGATGAAGAATTCGAGCCTAAGTTCTACTAAAAATCTTTGGAATGAGATTACAAAATTTTGATAAATGAAATAATTAATTATTATAATTGTACAATACTAATTTAATATGTACTAATAATTATTATTATATAGTTGATTTGGGTTACCTTAAATTGTTTTTTGATAGGTGTGTAATATTATAAAAATTAAGCGTAATACTAATAATCTTTGGTAATATTATAATCACAATTATATAAATTCGCAATTTCACATATAATTACTCTTTTTTTTTTGCAATATCATTCAACGGCAGTAATTAAATGATGAGAATTCATTTTTTTTATTGGATTAAGTGTTTGTATTCATATTTGTGCCAATATATTGGAGTGATTATAGATATCAATCATAATTGTAATATTGTTATAAATATTATATTACAAAAACATCTAGAATCCTAATTAAATATTGGAACGGTGTTATATGTGTTGGGGGATGCATAACTACGTTTGTGTCCCCCGGAGGCATCACACGTCCCAAGATGGATTTAGAATGGTCTAAAGAACTAGTAATCAATATTCTAAATTTCTTTTCAGAACTAATCATTTTTCTAGTTTTTAAAGTTTATGTTTTTACATAGTAGAGATCTTCATGTTAGAGATTATATACACCTAAAAAAATTAAGTAAAATATCCATTTCAAAATAGATCATGAAGAAAGGCCACATGTCTAGAATAATATATCTATAAATGTATATTATATGCAAAATAATATCTTCTGTGTTTTATAATTTCATAATTACTATGATATTTTTCCCTCTCATCTAAGATATTCATCATTACAGGTTCATTGTCCTATCTTTTATGTACTGTTAAAATTTTAAATTAGGAGAACCCAATATTTCTAGTGTTTTTATTCTAGAGGAGAACCCAATATTTCTAGTGTTTTTATTCTAGCCAAACTCAAAGGCCTCCAATTATGTTAGCCCTACAATGGAGGAGCCGCTGTGCTTGAAAGCCCTTTTGGTATCTCTACCCCCTCCTCCCTTTCCCTTACCCAATGAATCTCATAAATCAATCCATTCATATTTACTCTTCCTAATTACTCTAATAACAATGCATGAAGCAATGCAGTTTTCCTAATTACTCTAACAAAAAATGCATGAAGCAAAGCAGACGCTCAAATTATCCAATGTGGAAGTTTAGAAAGTCTCTTGATTGATTCGATGTACTGTTCAATTAGCTCAACCATTGAATTCTCATGCAATATACTTCCTCGCACTAAACGACTACCAATAACCTTATTTAACTTTTACGTATTTTATTTTATTTTATTTTATTTTTTATTTTTAATAATCGTTTTTTGGACATTTTTTTTTTTCAAGTTTTCAAAGTAATCCTAGACAAAATTCGGAAGTTTCGTTAAATACAATATTTTTTATCACTAGCTTTAAATTCTATAAGAAAAATCCAAATTTCTACATTTGAAAATATAAATTTCCAAAATTTCAAGGACTAACAATTATTTTATTCATGATTAGAAATTTTAGAAATTTGTATTTGTATTTCATGCTTATTCTATAATTTAATTTTATATTTTTATGATAAAAATTACAAATATTTGAAAATAGCAAATGGGTGCTCAAGTATTTCTCATTTTTATTTTATAAAAAGCTTTCCATCTGAAATATTTTTAACTATTTTGTAATTTTTTTGTAATATTATTAATGAACAATATGTTTTCTTAGCTAGTAAATTGGGAAAATGGATTTATTTATTTTTGAGTTTTCTAGAGCTTACAATTTTAAGTGTAGCTTTTTTTGCTATGTGATTGTTACATTCATTTCAAATCTATTTTGGGCCTAAAAGATTGATTCTTGAAGGCTCTATAAGGCTCGGGCTTCAAGGTGAGTGTTTTTATGGTTCTGAGCGTCAGAATTGTGTACAGGTTGATTTCTTAGGGATCTGGTGATCCACTGATCTTTTGTTTTGGGATAGCTTCCAATTCTAATGGTCCTAGGCAGTGTTTTAAAATGCAGTCGCATCATGTGGGATGCGCTCGCATCCGCATCCCGTTCATGCACATATACGCTTTTGATAGATGCGGCACATATACGCTTTTGATAGATGCGGCCGCATATGCGTTGCATCAGGCCGCGTCATGGCTGCATCAGACCGCATCTCGCCCGCATCTGTTTCCACGAAATTTGTTTTCTATTTTGGTCTCTTTTTGGTTCCAATGTTTAGGGAAACTGTTTGGGGGGTTACTATACCCCATAATCAAAGATTTGCAGCTACTTTTGTGGCTTTTTTTGCATACTATCAAAGGAAAAAAAAAATTTGGTGAAAATTTTTTTTTCATCCAAATCTTCGATTTGGTGGTTGTTTAATACTTGGATGTTCATTTGATGCCTTTTATTGTTGATTTGGGGATGTTAAGGTGAATTTGTGATAAGAAATTGGGGATTTCAGAGGTCGTGAAGAAATCAATCACTATTTCACAGAGTCGGTAACTTTTTATTCCTTCTTGTAGAATAATACTATTATACTTAATTTTGGGGCAATGTCTTCTTCCCAAACTTCTAGTAACAAGGATCTGGCTTGGAAATATGCTAAACTAAAACATCCAAAAGATAGAAATTGTGTGATATGCTTGCTCTGTGGAAATATTTATATGGGTGGTATTTTTCGATAAAAAGATCATTTAGCCGGAATTTCTGCGAATGTAAGAGCGTCCCCACAAGCTACAGATGATATAAAAAAGGAGATTAGATAATATTTGGATAGATTGAAAAAGATAAAGAGAAAAAAGAAAAGAAAAGAAAGGAAGTACTTGATGATATGCAATTATTTGATTATGTTGATGATGATGATGATGATGATGAT